CCAGAGTGCTCCTTGGAGGCCAAGATGGCTAAGCTTCATCTCTGCTACTTTGGACACATTGTCCGGAGAGAACAGTCTCTAGAGAAGGATGTCATGCTGGGTAAGGTGGAGGGTCAGAGAAAAAGAGGAAGACCCCCAACGAGATGGATCAGCCAGGTGGCATCATTGATAGCGTCAAAGTGTGGCGGCAGTAGGGAGGTTGGCCCAGGATCAGACATTGTTTTGTTCTTCTGTGCATGGGGTCGCTATGAGTTGGTTCTGACTCGATGGCACCTGACAACAACAACAACAACGATACCATGAGGTCCTGGTGACCAGTGATGGTGTCTTAACGATTTTTAACCTATTGTGTCTAGCAGAAGGGCTGACAGATTCTTAATGAATAGGTGGATGAGTAGATGGATGGATGGGTGGGTGAATGGGTAAGTGGGTGGATGTATGTATGTATGTATGTACCATACTTGATCATCTGCTTCTCAGGGCAGGCACTTTCTCCCCTTCTTGTTTTTGTTGTTAGATGCCGTTAAGCCAACCCAGACTCACAATAATCCCATGCACAATAGAATAAAACACTGCTGGTCCTGCATCATCCCCAGGATTGGCTGCAGATTAGACCTTTGTGATCCACAGAGTTTTCATTGGCTGACTGTCAGAAATAAATTTCCAGGCCTTTCTTCTTAGTCTCAGTCTATGGAAGTTCTGTTGAAATCTGTGAGCATGATAACAACACACAAGCCTTCACAGACAGATGGGTGTGGCTGTGCATGACGTACAGTAACTGGGAATTGAGCCCAAGTTTCCTACATGGAAACCAGAATTCTACTGTGGACCCACCAGTGCCTCATTTTCTTTCCTTAAGATGATGAATTCAGTCAAAACATGCCATTGCTTTGGAGCATGAAGTCTTAGAGGTCTATTCATGAAAGACCTGAGGTCCCAGAAGATTTCCATCTAAGACATCACCATGCTGACCAGAACATATGTGAGTGGATTAAAGGTCAAAAGGGTTAGATCAACTCTAAAGAGATTCTGGTTGACCTGAAATTCAATTAGCCAGAAGTCTCCTTTTCCTAAAGCCTTCTGACAAATTTGTATATTCTATTCAATTTCTTCATGAACACAGATCTAGTTAAAGTGATTCTTACCTTCTGTTGTGAAGGACGAGATTTGGGTGAAGAGAAAGATATTTTGAGTATTTGAAAAAGATTTGAAATACTCTTCTGATTTAATTTGGATGATTTGGATAGTGATTTCAGTACTATCAGAAAAGTAATCTAATTTTTCAATAACATCAGTTTGTAGAAACAAATTACAATTTGTTTGTTGTGGTGCCATAGGATAAACACCGGACTGGCAACAGCAAAGTCAGCAGTTCAAACCCATCAGCCACTCTCAGAAACCCTATACAGGGTCACTACGAGTCAGAACTGACTCGAGAGCACACAACGACAAGAGCAATAACATATGTAAAACTATGGAAAGAAAAAGATGAATGAGCCATCTCCCCTATGGGGGCTTATTTAATAACTGCCTCCATAAAATTCTATCATCTCCTATGATCATAAATCTACGTCTAGGTGGTAAATATGGTTAATAGGAAGCTAAAACTTAATTGTCCAAACAACAAAGCTAGGAATCTAACTCAAGTCTGTTTGACTCCCAAATCCATGTTCTTTCCAAACTGAGGGCAGGATCTGGGTCTCCATGGATAAAAGATCAGTGCTAATAAGTAAGGTCACACATCTAGGGGTAGGAGATGGGCAGATTTGGATATCATAGAAGGCTCCTTGGAAGTAGTGAGCTTCAAACTAGAACTTGAAATTTAAGGTAGATTCTTTCTTTTGATAATGCATTTAGAACGCGCAATCATTCCACATTCAGAAGGGAAGTTTTAGTTTGTTCCTTTCCTCTCTGGTTGATGTAACTGATCTGAGTCTCAGGAACAGACATAGTCAGACTCACCTGTTTCTGTAATACCCCAGCCAGAGATGTGACACTCTGTCCCGGAGGGAAAGGGACTCTCAGGCATGCACACTGTCTTCACATACTTGGATTCCAGAGCACAGTGACCATCCACTGGCTTTAACTTGAGCAAAGCTACATGGAGAGAGAGACAAAGCAGAAGGAGTTGACTGATGTGACTCTTTTCTCAAAAAAGCATCAACTTCTTGATTGGAAGTAGCTGTAGCAAAACCACACCCAGAATCCCAGAAAACTTTTTTTCCTTGGTCATTTCATTTTCCTACGTTCAACCTGTAGAGCACTTTGGACTGAGAGTAACAATAAGAAATAATGAATGAGTTTGAAATAATTTTGAATCTATATTTTAAAGCAATCCTTAATAAAGAAAAGGCTATTGAAGACAGAAGGAGAGAGACCCCATGAGTGGGATAATACAATACAGAACTAAGCAACAAGTAACTGAAAAAGAACATTGTCTCTGCAGCTGGGGGCCTTCCAGGTGTCAGGTGTGTCCTATACACTGTGTCGTTTAGGGAGCTGAGTGTTGAGCATCAATCAGCATTCCCATTTTATAAAAGCAGGAACTGAGGCTCAAGATAAACCTGTCTAGTAAGTGGCAGGGCTGAGATTCATATCCTGTTTTCACAACACAACCTTCTTAGCTTCTCTTCCCCTCAATTTAAGAATGTATGCACATTTACCTACAACACTAACACTCACCTTTGAGAAATACAAAGCTCTGGAATAAATTCTTTACCTCAGAATGTCTACAAGAGACCAAAGGTATCAAGGGCACTTCTTCAAACCAAACCTCAGTAGAGAAATTCACCTAGGACAAGACCTACAGGAGATCTACCATTGAAGACACTTACCAACATCATTGTAGGGAATATCGTCTCTTTCATAATAGTGGCTCGACTTAAAGATCTTTTCCACCTCAAAGCTCTGCTCATGGAGTTCTGTCTTCATCAGGTCCTGGTCCCCTAGCACCACTCTCAGATGTTTGGCTTTCAGGCTGTAAAGAAAAACAAGATGGTCAGGAAATAGCCCTGGAATTGAGAGAGTGGAAGCAAATCCTGGCTCTGGCCTGGTAAGCTAGCTCTGTGATGTTGGCAAATCACTGAACCTTCTGCATCCTCGACATCCTCGTATGTATCACTATCTGCTAGCAGAACTTCATTGTGTGGTCCAGATAAGATTGTGTAAGGACACTGTTTTCTGGCTTTATTGATGGGAGCAGTTTGCAAACATAACATACCTCTACCTTCCTACCACTCTCCCATTTTTTCTGGGCCTTGTGAAAGAAAGTCCGGTTGCCATCTCAAGCAAATCTATCATCTATTGCTAAGTGTTAATGATTGCGTGGTTGACCGCTCCTGAGGATCATCTCTTAGACTCCCCAAAGAAATTTCATAACAAGGTGAGCTGGAAGACCTTCAAGGTCACCTATACAAAACCTTGACCTAGTGGGAGCAGCACTGACTGTGAACATAAGGATTCTTTATGTACCCCAGACGGAGCTTGCTTCTGAAGCTCACAGAATGGAGCACAGAAGGCCTCGCTGGAAGGTTCACTGATGACATAGTCAATTTGTGGGAAACACGCTCTTTTCTTTGTCTAGGGAAGGACCCATGAAGTTAAAGGCATGAGCTTTGGAAGATCTAGGATCACCCTCTACTCTCCCACTTACTTTGCTAGCCCTTTCCAGGATTCAGGGCCTTCATTTATGAAATGGAAATTACAATAGTCTTTGATTCAACAAACATTTACTTGGTATGTAGCACTTGGTATGCACCAAGACTTGTTCTAGGCATTGAGGATTCTGGAGTTCAAAACACAGGGGAAAAAAAATCGGTGTCATTCCTCAGATTGTCTTCCTGGAGATGGCTCTGAGGATTAAGTGTCATATTCCTTGCACAGGACTAACATTCTAGACTTGGTAGCTATTTTCTGTCTGGTTTTAAGGAGTTTCTCTTTGGCCCTTGGGGCTAGATCAGGTTTCCTAGTTCTGTCTGAGCTACCCAAATGTTGCTTACATGGCAAGGAGAGTACCCCCATTTATCCAAGTCGCCCTGGCCTGTGCTCCCAGCAGACCTACTCAGTGCAGTGGGCAGCAGTGAGCACCCAGCAGGGGTGAATCAGCGCCCCCCCACAGAAGTGGCCCCGGGGCATGGAGTAGGTCAGTGGCAGTGTGGTCTGCAGGGACGCCTGCCACGGGTGCTTGCCCGCCGTGCTCTTGAAGCCTCCATAGATCCTCTTGATTTTCCTTTCCGCTGTCTCAGTTCTTCCGCAAGAGTTAAACTCAGGATGCTTGATGATGGAGCTTCCCTCTGGTCTGACAATATCTGTGGGGCAAGAAAGACCAACCACAACTAGTTACTGTTTCTCCAGCTCCTCATCAAGTGTCCCGAGTGAGGAACCTGAACCGGTGCACACAGGGTGGGTACGTAGATGGTGCCCAGTTAACAGGGTGCTAGAATAAGATGGTTATTATCAGTGAGTCGGTAGGATTAACCATGAAAGTGTTACTTTTCTTTATTCCAATGTGTGTTACTTCTAGAACATTTATACACAGAGAGATGTGTGTGTAAATAAATAAATTCACCAGTGGGTATGTGTTTAGCTATTAATTTGTCCACTCATATAATCTGGGTTACTTTTAGGTGTGGCGATGGTGGTTGTGTGCTGTATAGGGCTTCCAAGGCAGTGAATCTTTGTGGGGACAGAAAGTCTCATCTTTCTCCTGTTGATTAAACTGCTGACATGGCAGTTAGCAGCCCACTGCAGCCCAACTCATCACACATTAGGCTACCAGGCTTACTTGTTTTAGGTGTTGTTGTTAAGTGCCCTGGAGTTGGTTTCAACTCATAACGACCCTGTAAAGAGTTTGAATCACTGACCTTATGATTCAAACTGACCCTGCAGTCCAGTGCTTATCTTACAGCACTTACAGGACTCCTTTTTAGATGTTGTTGTTAAGTGATGTCTTGTCAGTTTTGACTCATAACAACCCTGTAGAGAGTTTTCGAGGAGTCTGGCTGCTGAGTTTGAACTGGTGACCTTATGGTTTAAATCAACCTTGTGGTCCAATGCTTATTCTACACCGTGTAGTGGGAGGAATCTCCAGATGAAGTGGAATGGGGGGTAGGACTGTTGCCTCAATAACTGTGACCCCCAAGGAGAGAGTGAAAGTGGCTGGGCTGTGCCCCTTTCCATGGAGGTTATAAGGTAGAAGAGATAACACTGCCTTTGGTAAAACACGGTGGACTTCCTGGAGGAAGCGCCATTTCAGTTGAGCCTCAAAGAATTATTGACTATGGATAAGAGAAGATACGGCATGGAGTATTATAGACAGAAGGGACCCTGGAAGCCAAGGTATGGAAGTGGAATTGTCTAGGAAGGTTATGCCATTGGCTAAGGTGAAGGGTATACCTGAAGACCACTCCAGGTAAAGAGGTGGGTCAGGGAAGTTCAGCTGGTTGTGGAGACCCAGCCAACATTTGTCCACTCAGAACTTTTAGATATTTGCTAGGGGCACTGACTTGAAGTCAGAAAACCTGGATTTACAGTTGGGCCACTTGGCCTGAGTTTACAAACATATCCAGACCTGCTCATCATCCTGAGAGTGGAACAGGGGAATCAGGAAGTTGGATTGTCACATGGATGGAGGTTACTAAAGCAGATGTGATGGGAGGGCAGGGGTGCCAGGAACATCTGTCTATGGACCGTCCCCATTCCCACTGCCTGGAACTTCAGACAGTGTGTCCTTACCCAGGGGTGAGCACACTGACACGTCACAGTATTCCCATTTCACCTTTGCCTTGTTCACTTTGATGAAACACCAGGGCTTTTTATCTCCATCTGGATTTCTTAAAACAAACAAACAAACAAACAAATGAAAAAATCCATAACAACAGGACATACCCACTGGATCTCAATAAAGGGCCCCAAGTTCTTACACTCTCCCTGCAAACCACATTCCAGTGGACCCTCCAATAGGTTAGCAAGCCCTGGGACTTAAGGGCGATCCTAGTTTTTCAGCTAAGCCTTAAACTTCCAGAGAGGAATTCCAATAACCAATAAGTAATACACAGGTCTTGTGCCAAGGGCACAGAAGATCTCAGATAGTGTGTAGGAAAAGAAATGAGATCCTCATTGAAGACTCTTATTTGTCAGGAAAGTGAAGTATCCACAGAAGCATGCTAAAAGTGGGGGTCTTCTGCATGGGAGCAACCCTGAAGACTGCTCCATGAAGCCAATAGCTCTGGGGCACTTAAAGTGGAAGGTAACTGCTGTTTTGGGCAAGTGATGTCCTAATCACTTAATGGAACCAGTTTAAAGGCTTGCAAAGAACTACTACCCCTTCTATAAGAACCATGTGTGCCCTCAATCTTGGCTAACTCTTGGACAATGGGCGAGAGCAACAGAGAAGTCTGGAGGCAGCAGAAAAGGGAGATGGCAACTTTATCACTAGAGAGAGTGATGGCATTGTCCTTACTGGGAACACTTGAGGGTCCTTTTGTTCCTTCTAGACAGTTCTCTCTTGAAGTTGTGTGAAGCCATGTGTGACTACTGATCAGTGAAATGTGCATGGGAAGATGATGTATCACGTTGAACTTGGGATATTAAAGCAGCCATACTTCTACTCCGTTTTTCCATCTCTCCTTGTCATCCCTGGGTCTTTGAGTAACTTTGTGGAGCAGAGTTTCTCCCACCCCTCTTCTGTTTCCACCTCCCATACAACACATGCAATTATAGCAAGACATACACTTTAATGTATTTAAGCCTTTGAGATTTGATTGTTTGTCACAGAAGCATAACCTAGCCCATCCTGAGTAAGACAATCTTCCTAGAAAGAAAGCTGATGACTTTGTGGTTCTGTTCCAAAATTTCTAAGCTGGAGAAAGAAAACGGGAAGCAGAGAAAAGTATCATCAGACCCTTAAAGTGACAAGCAGCTGAACCTGAACATAGGAAAAAAAGCCATTTTCACCTGCAGAAGTTGTGTTCCCCAATCCCATGGACCTCAGCATCCTCCATAAAGATGTTGTAATTCTCCTGCAAGAGGAGGTGGGAGTTCCAGTAAAGGCATGTGTGCCGATTGACAGTATTACTGACATTCCCTCGGTAAGAGTAACCATCACCAACATAGCAGTCGTCAGGACCTTGGAGAGAGCAGGCAAGGCTGTGAGGGCTGACAGCAACTGACACATAGCTCCCCCAAAGGCAGGCATATCAAATGATGATAGGATTGGCTCTAAATTTTTACCACTCTGAGATTTTACCTAAAACTTCCAGAAAGAAGGTCTTGACAGTCTCATATCAATCTAGCTTTAAATGATGAAAGGGTGGGGGTGGAGTTCCTTAAATTTAGCTCACACAAGAACTGGTGGAGGGTGGGTGGAGGCGCCTGGGTAAACCAGTGTGTTCATTTTGCCCTGGACTTCATCCCAGTGTATTCCTTTCTCTACATGGTGCCAGACAAACCCTCTGCACTAGGCTGAGGCAGTAACAGAGTTTGGGAAACTTGACTTGAATCATACTCTGGCAACAAAATCTAAAAACAAATTCCAGGGGACTCCCTTGTACCTTGAGTTTCTGATGCAACGATGGTAGAGATTTATACCTATGTCACAGAGCTTCCCCTTGAACTGGTCAGGGCAGGTGCAGGTAAACTTGTGTATCTTCTTATGCCGGGAGCAGGTGCCACCATTTTGACAAGGGTTTGACCTGCATACCCTAACGACTGTGAACACAGAAAGTGGGTCAAAGAAGGCTATTTAGAAGGAGTTGAAGCTTCATCTGAGATAACCAAGAGATATTGGTGGCACTTCTCTGGTGCCCACCCATTCTGAAATGATCAGTCTCCAAAGGGGAAAGACAGACCACTGAAACTGTATGAAATGAACACACAAACTTTAAGAACATAAACAAACAGGAATTAAGTAGCCTGTGTGAAAAAAAGTCAGTAAGGAAGAACAAGAGGTATAGACTGAGCAGGAATTTTGAAATCACTCTGGGCTAGGTTGAAACTCGACTGTGCCCTTTGATAGCTGTTGGGATATGAACCAGTTCTTGAACTTCTCTGAACTTCAGTCTCATTATCTGTAAAACTCTTCCTTGCAGTGTTATAACTCTCACTGGACTGTGCCTGGCTTCATAGCAATAGCTCAACATCTGTGAATTCCCTTGTATGACTTACCCCAGGAATAGACCAGGGCCTGCTTCCTGGGGGAAGTGAGTTTCAAGATAACTTTTTAGGGATGGAAAGGGTTGCATGCCAGTCATTTTCCACTAAGCTCTTCAGGATGATCAGTCTTAACAAGCCCTATTTAAAAGAGTTATCTTGGCTCCCACCAAAATATCAGCTGTATCTGGACTTCTATCCAGGAGAGTGAAGAGACCCAGATACAGACTAGGGTGGAGAAAAGCTAGCACCGAAGGGTCTACTTACGTCGGGAGCATTCTGGACCTGTGTAAGGATGTTTACAGACACAGCGGTAGTAGGGAGGGTTCTGGGTAATGAGGCATTCACCCCGGCCACATGGGTTATTCTTGCACGTGTTTTTCACTGTAGAATATTCACAGAGGAACGGAGACAAAGTAGAATAACATTATTTTGACGTGAATTTTACTTAAGGGATACATGTATATCATAGACATAAAATCAGTTGCCATCGACTCAACTCCAACCCATATAGGCTCCATGTGTGTTAAGGAAGAACTATGTTTTCAGTGACTGATTTTTTTGGAAGCAGATCACACGGTCTTTCTTCTGAGGTGTCTCTGAGTGGATTTGAACCTCCAACCTTTTGGAAAATGGCCGAGCACTGTTAAACAGTTTGCACCATCCAGGGATTTTGTGGCCAAAATCAGTCATAGCAGCAATATGAATGGAGTCGACGGGGGGCGGGGGAAATGGCACATGCCTCTGTCCGTGGTCCTGAAAACGTCAGCGGCACCAAGATAAGCTTTTCTCTGATGGTAGGGTCACTGATGATTGCCCACCTTTTTGACACCAGGTACACAGCCTTTCTTTTCTATCTTTATTAAAACCCTGATTTAAACACTTTAAATAAAGCTTTTAGTAAATAAAACTACAATCTGAGTTTCTGCATTTTGCAGCTGGTTTCATGTTTCCTTTACAGATATATTATTCTTCAGGGTGAACCTTCCTACTTTTCCCAGATACTGTATTTATCACTGATATCTTCAAATTTCCTAAATATTTACTAGAGAAACTAAAGGATTAAATGTTGGAATAATAGATGGAGAAAGAACAGAGATAAAAGCCAACCAGAAAACCCTATAGTGTCTCCATGGAGCTGCTCCCATAAAGATTAGATCCTATAGAAAAGGTCTACTCTACACACATAGAGTGCCTGTGAATGGAGTTGACTCAAAAGCACCTAAAAACAGCACCACCAACCCCTCTAGTTAGAGGGTTGCTAACCTGAATGGAATCCAGCATCTCTAACCCATAAAGTTAGGAGTTCTAACTTTATACTTTCTCCCATGGCTTCATGTTGTGCTCACTGAAGCTCACTGAAGGCAGACACAGATTTTATCAGTGAGGCTGACAGGAATAAAGGGCACTGGGCTTGGAGTGGTCTCATTCCTGCCTTCCTAACAAGCTAAGTGACCATGAGCATGCCTTCTGTCTCTTCTGGGTTCCCTTTTTCTATTATTTGACCTCTTTGTGCCCCAAGAGTCTTCCTATTCCTATTTCTTTGTTGTTGTTAGTCTAAACATGCTACAAAAATATCCTGGGTTTGGAATCTACCTTGATCAGACTCCAGCTTTTATATCTTGTTAGCTTCAGTCTTCTCATCTGTAGAATGGGTATGCTAGTCACACATTGCACTGTGGTGTGAAGATACAATGAGATTCTGACTGTTTCCAGGCTGAGGAATTCATCATACATGGTACCATATGTGCAGCTATAATCCTTTCTATGAAACCATTTGGCCCTTCTTTAGCCCCTAGAGTTTGAGACCATCTCATAGGGAAGAGTGAATTCGAGGGAAACACACTCACCCTTCTGACACCTGCTCCCAGAGAACAGGGCTGGGCAGCTGCATGTGAAGGTGTCCCCACTGACGAGGCAGTCCCCACCGTGCTTGCAGGGGTTGGACTCGCACGGATCTAAGATACATAGGCAGAAGGCCGTGTTTCAATGAACAGCAGGTGAGAAGTCTCCACATGCTCATTTAACTTCAGCCTCGAGCCTCCAATGAGAGAGAAACTACATAACCAGTGATTGGACAAAGGAAGAAAGACATATTATCCTTAAAGAGCCAGGGAAGCTACAGCTCAGACAGGCAAGAGGACAGGTGAGGAGGTATTGTGGCTCTCTTTCCTTGGCCTGACTTTAGATGGGGCCTTTCTCATTGAGGGACTCCCCTTTGCACCATCAGTGGTTTCTCCTCCCCGTCTTGCTGGGAGTGCCACGGGGTCTGTCTCTGATGCTGAAGGCATTTCACAAGCCTGAAGACCTCCCCTACTCCCAGTGCCCAGGGGTGGAGGTGAAGAGTGAGGAAAGAACACCCACCCCTAATGAAACACACACTTTCTGAACATCAGGAGACAAGACCAAAGGCACGAGGGTGACAGAGGAATCGACGGCGAGGAGGAAATGACCCAGTGGCCTTCATCTTTCTTCAACTACTTGTTCAGTTAGATTTTGTCATATTTCATCTCTGCCTTTGGCTTTTCATGGTTGTCTGAATGGCTCTTCCCTTGGGGAATTTTTATCCTTCTGTTCACACACATTGTTCTTTGGTTCAGGAACTAGGATCCCTGGGCCCAGCTCTTGTTTTGATGGTCCCTTCTGATGTTTCCCCCATGCCCCATATCTTGGCCCTGCCTTCCAGGCCACTTCTCACAGTTAACACAGCTTTTATTCCAGCTGCTAAATGCTTTCCGTTCCTTCTCCTGGCTTAGTCACATGGATTTGCTTGGCCCTGCTTCTAATTTTCCTCTCTGTCTTTATTACTTAGGTGACAAAGTCACAAATGCAAGTGTGGTAGAAGCACTTTTGTGTAAGTACACACACATACATACACAACAATAACTTTGAAGAGTAGACATAGGGAAGAAAACACAGCAAAGATGAATGGAAAAGGAATTTCAGACTGATGTCAAATGCTAACTCAGACTCTTGTGTAATTAGGACCTGACCCAAGATCAAAGCTACAGAATGGTTTTGTTCATGACTCCTAGTCATAGTTTCAGACTGTGGAAAGCATGTTAGATGGGGAAACCAGAGACCTGTATTGGATGCACTAACTTGCTTGACCTTGACCAAGTCAGTTCCCCTCTTGGCCTCACTCACTTGGTCTGTTAATTAAGAGATGGTCTCTGAGAACCTCCCCAGGCCTCAAAGTGTATGATTTTAACTTAATAGAGTTCAGTATAAATCATTTCTTTGATACTACTTCTATAATGCTGGTGAGAAAGGAGAGGGGCCCTTGCAGATGGTCACACATCAACTGCCCTCCAGATGTGCTGCTTCTCACAGGAGGGTTTCCAGCAGTATATTGGGTACCCACCATCCTCTGTGTAGTACCAATCAGGACTCTCCGCGTAGGCAAACTCACTAGTGGTGTTGTCTTGCAGATGGTCATACTCTTGGCTGTACTCATAGTTGTCAGGAGTCCAATCTGGAAGGATGGAAGAGGAAAAAGAAACCCTCATGAGACCCAAAGAAGCCAGCATTTGATTTAATTGAAAACTTTTTTTCTGAAGATTTCAAAGTTCTGAAAGAGAGATCACTTGTCTTCCCTGCTCCTCACTCTGGTGGCTGTGGGGTGGACAGGGTCAAGTACTTTCTGAGGGGACAGGCAGAGTCAGGCATCATGAGTGTTCATCTACAGGATGGTAAAACCAGCATTTGATGGATTAAGAGCACCATACTGGACCAGAGGAGATTAAGTCAAGTGGTGCTCCACTAACCATGTGACCTTGGATAAGCTTCTCATCTCTGAACAAGAACAGGAACAGGGCCTAGAAAGTCTCCAGGCCCTATATGTGATCTGCCCAGAGTCAGATCAAATGACACTTGAGTGTCTTCTTGGTTGACTATGTGAATTATATTTCTCAGTGGGACTTTATTAATCATCTTTTCTTAATGAAGTCAAAGAAATGGGTCTCTTTCCTCTTGGCCATTGCATAAAGCTCCTCCCATGTTGTAGCTGTGAAGCCATCACAACAGCTAACCCTTACTGAGCCTTTACTCTGAACCAGTAGTCCCTGTATAAGTCTCATGCCAATTTGGGAGCTATAGTATTATTTCCATTTTTAAGCTGAGAAACCTGAGACTCAATGAGGTGAAGTAACTTGCCCAAGGTCACACAGCTAATGAGAAATAGGACATGAACTCGGGCAGTTTGTCTCCAGATAATCACTAAATCATACTAGTTCAACTTCAGCATTCAACTGCCTCAACTGACACCTTACACTGCCTTGGATTTATCCACACTTACCTTTGGAAAGGGTTCAGCCATTCCCATTGATAGCAGCTTGCTAATTAGGAGTTGCCCAAGGACAACCTTGAAAAGGCACATGGATCTTGCCCAGTGACAGAGAGGGCTGTGTGCTGTATTGCCCCAAGTTGAAAACCTCACGCCGGTTAGGAAGGAAAAGCAGGTGTGAGTAAGGTGGCATTCCTTGGTCTCTGGGGCTTTGGGAGATGCTGGTAGCTGTGTGGCTCATAGAGAGACGTTGGGATTTGCAGATTGTTGGATTGACTTTTCTCTCTGCCTGGTGTGGTGAGTGGGCAAGTTGAAGCTATCCAGAGATGCATATGATAATGAAGCAAGAGCAAATGCAGAGAGCTGACTTGAAAAGGCATTCCCACAGAGCAGCCGATGGCTAGGAGGATGGCACTGTACCTAGGCTTGATTATCAACCACATTATCTTACTCAGCTCTCACTCATTCTGTTGTAGTCTTTATCTCTTTGGCTTTTGAAAAATCGACTTTTTCACAATGGCTGTTTTATACTTCCCATTAAAGTGGAACTATCTTTTTATTTCTTTTTTTTGAATACACCAACTCTGGTTCCTTGCCAAAGTTTCACCTCATTTATCACAGTGTCAAGTCAAGAGCCCCTTTGCTTGCTCATTATTTCTCTGAGCTGCTTTCCCCCACTATGAACATGCTCCCAGAGGAGGCCACCTTTCCAGGCATGAGGATCTGGGTTGAAGATAAGGCCATTGTCTTCCTGGAGCAAATAAAGTTTCCTTCCATCTAGCATGATAAAGCAGAGAGTAAGAGGCATCACACACAAACACACACACACAAAGAGAGAGAAAGAGAGAGAGAGAGAGAGAGAGAGAGAGAGAGAGAGAGAGAGAGAGAGAGAAATGTTTTCCTGTGTTTGACAAGAAAGATTTCAAACTGACATTTGGGGGAGACAATGAGGCTTGGTAATGGAATGATTACATCATTTCTCTCTTTCTTTCTTCTTTGGGAAGTTGGTGTTTGTTTCTCCAACAGGTGTTTACAGATAAGTGCCCATCAGTTTTCTCCCATAATTTCTCCCATCACTCCCAGGTTGAGGCTAAGATATTTAGAATCACTACTTTTAGAGATGTTTGAAATGGAGAATATTCTTATGTAGATGGGATGGTGTGACTTTCAGGTGATGAGGTCAATGTAATGTCTATTTAAGGACTTGTCTCCAGCTCTGTTAATAAGGTCCGGTCATCTCTCAGTGAAGCAAAATAGAGAATATAACACTTAGACATTGGATCTTATTCCTGCTAAATAGTGCAATAAATTCCTCTTATTGTTCTTTTAAAACTCCTCCCATCAAGAGATGGAGTTTATTTCTCCACTCCTTGGATCTGGGCTGACCTTGGAACTGGCTTTGACTCAGAGCATGTGGTGGAGAGATAGTGTGTGCCAGGTCCAAACTTGGGCTTCTAAAAAGCCTGGTATTTATCTTTTCTCTCTCCTAGACTCCTGTGATCCCCAGAAGAATCAGTTCTGCCTGAGAATAAGAGACTCTATGGTATAATAACAGGCCCAGTGGCCCCAGCTGAGACTTCAGACATGTGAGAAGAGCCATCCAAGGGCAGCAAAATGAGACACCAGCTGGCTGTGGCCACTGAGCAAGCGCAGCCAAGATTAGCTGAGCTTTAGTCCTGATCAGGACTGCCTAGCTGAGCTCAGCCTCCATTGCCAACCCAAAGACAGATACTCTAAATAAATAGTTAGTGGTGGGAGTCAGTAAGGTGTCAGTAATAATGACTAATGCATGGGCCTTGATTGGGTTGCCAGGGGGATAGGAATTTCAGATACCACAGCTAGCTACAGAATCTTAGGTTTAACGGCTGCAGAGAAGTCACAGGGATTCTCTTCCTGGGCATTAGTATGGGGCTTGGTCCATCTGATTTGTTTTCTTGCCCAGATAGTTGGTTTTTAGTTTGAAGAGTGTTGGTCCCACTTTCTACCCTACAGTGCTCAGCACAGAGATTCACATGCAGTCAGATGGAATTTTCCCTCTGTGGTCAAGCTCTCCTTTCCTCCCCTGCCCCTCACCATGCCTTTGGATTGCCTACCACACCAATCTGCAAAGATGATGCCTAGCTAGAAGCATGCAAACCAACAACGAATAAATCCATTGCTATTGAGTTGATTCCAACTCTTAGTGACCCACAGGACCGAGTAGAATGGTGCCACAGTGTTTCCAAGGCTCTAATAAGTCTTTCCGGAAGCTGACTGCCACATTTCTCTCCCACATAGGCAGGGTTCGAATCACTCACTGACTTTTCAGCTAGCCACTGGCACTTAAAAACTGTCACTGGGACAACGTAAATGGAGAATTTAGGAAAGAAATAGTGTGAAATTTGGATCAGAAAATGCTCGGTGGAGAAATATCTGGTAAGCTCCGTGCTGTTGTGTGCTGCCAGTTCCAATGTCTAGTGACTTGAGACGACAGAGGAGAGCGGCTCTGTGGGTTTCCTAGGTGGCCATCTTTGTGGGAGCAGATCTTTTCCCCCTTGAAACCACTGATTTGTTCACAAGCCCACCCTTTCCGATAATAGCCAAATGCTTAACCACTGCACAACCAGAGCTCCTTGAAGAGTCTAGAAATGTGTGCAGATGTTTTCCTAGGTGGAGACATGAGATGTGGTTCCATTGATAGACTGTGGGGGACCACTCTGGGTTTAAATACAGATTGGAAACTTTATCTAGGCTGTAGAAAAGAGAGAAAGAAAAAGAACAGGACAGCTGTCAGAAACATTGTGTGAGGCACAAAAAGAAGTTCCTGTGGACTGACCTAGTGTGTTCCTAGAATTTATCAGGAAGATTGATGAGAGGCCGCCCCAAAAAATCCTAATAATAGATTAGTTGTATTGAGAAATTGCTATGTACCACACTTGTTACTAAATTAATGTGTTATATGCACAATCTTATTTAACATCAAAATAACCTATGGTATTGGCATGACTATTCCTATTTTACAAATAGGTAAAAAACTAAGCCAGAAGGAAATAGCATCATAACCCAGGTCTACCCTCCCTAACTCCACTAAACTGTGAACAACAAGGTTTGTGGTTCGAGTCTATCAGGCGCTCTGCAGAAAAAAGACGAGGCTTCATGCTCTCTTGAAGATTTAAAGCCTCGGAAACCCTACACAGGATCGCTGTAAGTCGGAACTGACTTGATAGCACTTAACGACCACCACCACATAACAACTCCAAGTGTTATTTGCCATTTTATGAGCCCTGGAGCCTCTTGTGGGTTTGTGTTTCATGAAGCTTCATGGGTTTTAGCTTTCAGAAAGTAAGATGAGTTGGGAAATCATTAGCACATGCTCCAGTTAGATTCCCCAGGATGCCCAGGGTCCACGGCCAGGGTCCATGCGTAGGGTCCATGCCCAGGGTCCATGCCCAGCGTCTCTTGGATAAAGCTCTGAGTTTCTGCAACGGGGGCTTTGCAGCTGCTCCAGTTAAAGAGCTTGCCAGATGTGTGGAACGGAATAAAAATCCTTGGAATGCCATCCCTGTTGGCGTCATCCATCATCACAATGCAGACAGCTCCTCCAAGGGCCTACCCCAAACCCCAGCCCTGTCGACCTGCATTTGACGCTTCCAATCCAGCTGTCGGGGCAAGCCCAGCAGAGACCCTCCCTGGCAGGTGACAGGCTAGCTGATGGATGGCTCAGCCTGCATTGCTGGGCAAAGCCAAGCCAGCTTTGAAGAGGCATTTCTGTAGGCTGGCGGGCTGTCGCATCACCTGCTTTGGGGAGATGGGCAGAGGCTGGATTGTTTGAAGGCCACCTCCTCCATCACCCAGTGTGGACTCTTGTCTGGGCACCTTCTGGTCCAGCAAGACCCTTGACAGTCACTGTCTTCAGCAAGGCCAACCAAAGAAGCAGCTGACTATCATGAACAGGACTCAGGGTTTCTTTGGCCACATTCTTGTCGAAAGCCAGCAGAATCTGACACATTCCATCAAAGCGCAACCATCATGTGACATGAATTCAGACACCTCATATGGATGTTTTTAAAACCTAACCTGTTCTTTGTAGAAAAGTCTAGCTTCTGTGTTGCACCCTACTCCATAGACAGAGGCGATGAAAAACCCTGGAGCCTGCGGGACTGGCCTGCTTCAAATTATCACCCAAATCTCAGAAGCTATTGTCAGCCTTCTAGAGCTCAGAATTTCAAGATGCTAAAAGGAATCTTACCCAACACTATCCACTCTGTACCAAACGGCTTTTCAGCCTATGCTTGAAAGCTTCTAGGGATGGGGAACTCACTACCTCCCAAGATTTTGGATAACTGAATTGTTAGGTTGTTCACTGCACACCTCCAGGAATATTATAAACTCATAGACTATGTCTATGACAACTTTATAGCAAGGTAAAGGCACCTCTTAATTCTCATACTGTTCCCTCATAGATTAGTGGTATGGGCACTTGAGGAGAGTAGGGCTTCTCGAATCTTGGGTGCGTCTGTTCCCTCCACTGTGGGAACCCACAGGACCTGCAGCTCTGTCTCTCGGGCCACAAGCACAGCTCCGGACCAAAGGGTCCTCCTGCAGCAACTGGTTCTGAAGGCTGGTGATGGGGAAGCTCATGGAGCCTCTAGACTATAGACATTGTCAGGCTCGGCATGTGGATGCTGGCTGCCACGGTCATCAGACAGGGGCTCCCTCTGAAATCTGATTTTCCTAGGAACTGAATTCGATGGCATTGAATTGAACCCTCTCCTGGTGTGGTGCTGTAGGATAAGCATTGGACTGCAAGGTCGGTGGTTCAAACCCATCATCTGCTTGCTCCTCAGAAATCCTATACAGGGTCACTATGAGTTGGAACCAACTCTATGGCACTTAACAACAACAACTTTGCTTTTGAAAAGACTCTGAATTTCTCAAATCTCACATGTCATGTGGAAATATATATGTATATATAACCCACCAGCTGCTCCTCAGGAACCCCTACACAGGGTCACTATGAGTCAGAACTGACTCGAAGGCACTTAACAACAACATATATATATGTGTGTGTGTGTGTGTGTGTGTTTCGTTCTGCTGTGCATGGGGTCGTTATGAATCAGTTCCAACTTGATGGCACCTGACAACAACAACTACAATATATATATATTCAATTCCACAAGTGTTCTTTGAGCACATGGGCCAGACAAAAACCTGGCACCTAGCGTCACTTGCTAACAAGAGTCTGTCTATCCATCCAGAGTCCTGCTACTGGAGGCTACTGGCCTTTATGCTAAATGCAAACCAGTTCTTGCCATTTTTGAGCTACATAAATCTTTGATGCAAATTTTACACTTGACTGCAGTCTTCACCTGCTGCTTGTCTGGTTCTGCCATCCACTGTGAGTGACCAGCTCAGGCTGGACCTGGAGATGCTGACCCCCCATGCTCTGGGCACCATCTACTTCAGCAATAGGAGTTTTCCCCCCTAGTATTCAGAGCAACCAACAGAGACTTGGACCCAGACTCAGAGACCAAGGATGGCTGAAGCAGCAGGAAGCTCTGGCTGACTGTGGGCCTCTGACAGAGGAGAATGGAGAGGGGAAAGGGCGAGGACAGAGGGCAAGAGTCTCTGTGTGTGTTGTGTTTTTGTCATGTGTGTTGGGTGTATTGTGGGTTTGCTGTGTGGTGTGTGGATTGTGTGTGTGTTGTGTTTGCATGTGCTGTGGATTGTGTATATATGAGTGTATCTGTACGGCATGCAGATATCGATTGAAGCAGGTGGGAGAGTGGGGCTCATGGGCACAGACACGTGGAAACTTGAGTAACCACATGAGCAGTCTGCAAGGCGCCAACACCATCCTCTCTTGATGGAAATGCTGGCTCCTCATGGCTTCATTGTACCTGGGTCCTTCCACCTAAACTCAGTCACTAGCTGATGGAGTGACGCAGGGCAATTGTGTTCCCTCCCTAAGTCCTGGTTTCCTTCTCTGCAAAACGATGTGGTTTATTTGCAATCAGCAGTTTTCCCCTCGAAGCCCTCAGACAGAACATTGTGTGTGTGTGTGTGTGTGTGTGTGTGCGTGCGTATGCAGCTCTCCAAGTGTGCACGTCTCTGGGTAAATTCTCAAAGGGCTTTGTGACATCCTGAAGCAGCTGTACCCTAAGATTCTTTTCTTCCATCCCAGAACAGAGCATGGGTGGTGGGAAGCCCCAGGGTGCTCAATGGACTCACCTGGGTCCAGGTCTCCAAGTAAGGACATCAGAGAGAACTGAAAAATAGCACAAAGTAGAACAAAGGTGAGTCTGGGCTCTACGAGCCTGCTGGGTGCATCCTGAGCTCTGGCAAGCCGGAGGGGAACCGTCTGCAGGAACTCACACAGGGCATGGGAGTACTGGGCACTTTCTGGGGTGTGCAGTTGGGACCAGGTGTTGGAGGGAAGGGGTGGGTCTGTTTGGAGATGTCCCTTTCTGTCCTGTGCTGACTCCGCATCCTCCACCTTTCTCAGGCAGGACCTTTGCACGTTTCTGTTCTCATGTTGGAATCGGGTGTTGGCGCTATTGTCAGTTACAGCAATTCTCGTGTATGAAGCATATATGCTGTGCTTGGTTTTGCATTGCTGCCTTTAATCTGTGTAACAACCTTGCTGGAGAGACGATTGCTTTTGTGCTAAATGCAATTCAATGTACTGCTCCACAGGACTTTCTTGGTGGTAATCTTCACAGAAACAGACCCCCAATACTATTTTCTGTGATACTGCTGGGTGAGTTCATAGAAATATTATTAGCCTTGTTAATGCATAAGGAAATTGAGGTTCAGAGGAGTTAGGACACTACCCTGAGGTCACACAGCTGTGATAAGATTAAGATTCACTCTTAGGTCTAGGTGATCTACTGGGACTGACAGTTCCTTGGCAGTTAGGGATGGACAAAAACAAACCCAAAAACATTGCTGTTGAATTGATTCCTAGTAGAACTGCCCCATAGTTTCAATCTTTACAGAAGCAGATGGACACATCCTCCTCCTATAGGGTGGCTGGTGAGTTCAAACTGCTGACGTACCGGTTAGAGGCCCAGAGTACAACCACTGCACCACTGGGAGGTCCTCTGCGGATGGACAGGTGTTGCAAAGTCCCCACAGACTTCCTATTGGTCACAGAATCAAATACAAACTCCTCCCACAATCTTCAGAAGCACATGCTCCCTGGTTCATCCCACAATCCTCGACACTCCTCAGAGCTTCAAATCAGCCCAAGTCAATCTCCTTCCACCTCAGGACCTTTGCACTTGCTCTTCCTTCTCCCTATGACTTTCAATGGGTCTCAACTTAGAGGTCAGTCACCTCCTCCAGGGAGTCACCCCGATCACTGGCTCCATAGAATGTCCTCTCCCCCGTCACTGCGTCTCTGCACCCATTTTATTTCAGTACAGCATTTTATATTACTTAAGATGCCTGTTATCTCTCACACCAGCTTCTGTCTTCCAGGAAGGCTGGGATCTTGTCTGATTTGTCACGAATGTACTACTTTCTACCTAGCATGGTGCATGGCAACAGGCGGCCTTCAAAAAGTATTTGCAGAATACATAAATAAGGATCTAATTAGTTTCTTCTAGAAGGCACTCCTTACCAGAAAGAGAAAGCTCTACTCTTTTAATAACTGGTATGTTTCCTTTTACCTAGGTCAGTGACTAGCAAACTAAGTTGTGTATTTGTAAATAAAGGTTTGTTGGATCACAGTCATGCTTGTTTCTTTGTAAGTTTGTCTACGGCTCCTTTCATACTACAATGGCAGAGTAGTTGTAACACAGACAGCAGAGTCTCTCTGGCACTTTTTGAAAGTTTGCCAACCTCTGATTTAGAAAAAGAGAGCTCTGTAGTTCAACTATATAGATCTGGTGTGGCGCTGTGGGATAAGCACTGGACCGGTCAACTGCAAGGTAGGCAATTCAAACTATCGCTCTCAGAAACTCTATACAGAGTCGCTATGAGTCAGAGCTGACTTGATGGCACACAACAACAACAATAACAGTATTGTTCAACAGTTTTTCTTTTGGGTCTTGGCAGTCAGAAAGCTGAGATCAACACCATGTGTCTTTCCACTATTCACACCCATCTGCAATTTGGTAGACTTGCTTTCTCTACCTCGGGTTGGAGTCCTGGTGTGGATAAGCACTGGACTGCTAACTGCAAGGTTGGTGATTCAAACCCACCAGCCACTCTTTGGCAACACTATCCAGGACCACTGTGAGTCAGAACTGACTTAGCAACTTAGCAACAATAACCTGTATGGCACAAACGGCTAATCACGCAGCTACTAAGCAAAAGATTGGTGGTTTGAAATCTACCTAAAGGCACTTCAGAAATTAACGATGGCCATCTGTGGCACTGTAGGATGATAAACTAGACGACAAGGTAGATTTGAGCCACAAGGTTGGCAGTTCAAACTCACCATCTGCTCCTCAGAAACCCCATAGGGGTCAATATGAGTCAGAACCGACTCGACGGCACTTAATAACAACAACACTCTGCTTCCAAAAGATGACAGTTGTTAAAACCCCGATGGAGGACGCAGTGTCACCATGAGTTGGAACTGACTCGACAACAACTGTTTTTTTTTTCTCTTCTTCAGTTTAACCCTCAACAGAGGTTTAGATTTTCTATTTTACATGAGCCTTTTGCTACATAGGCTTTCTGACACTATTTTATGGTGGGTATGTGTTGCGGAAAGAGCTCTGGTAGCATAATGGTTATGAATCAGGCTGCAAACCACAAGGTCAGCAGTTCGAAATTACCAGCTGCTCTGCGGGAGAAAGATGAGGCTTTCTGCTCATGTAAAGATTTACAGCCTCAGAAACCCTGTTCAGGGTCAGTATGGGTCGGAACCGACTTGAAGTCACTTAACAACAACAACAACAAATGTGCCGCGGAGTCAGTTCCGATAAATTAGGAGAGAAAGATAAAAAGAGAGAATGTATCTGGATAGCTATCCCAATGACACAGCATCACTATGTAGTATTATTGACCCAAATTCACCTCCCAGGCTAATCATGTTCCGAACTGGGGAGCATTCTTCCAAAGAGCCTAGATTCTACACAAAAGATGGCAAGGTGTTATTTATTAAAAGAGATTTAAGGGATGTGACAACCAAATGTAGTGTGTAATCCTTGATCAAAAAACCTCCAAATGATAAAGGACATGATTGGAACAATTGGGAAATTTGAATATGGGCTTATAGTAGATCATATTGTTGTACCAATGTTGAATTTCTTGAGAGTGAGAACAGCATTGTGATTCTGCAGGAAAATGTCCTCATTTTTAGGAGATGCATGCTGAGTCTTTTGGGGGTGGTGTCTGAAGTTTACTTGGAAATGATTCAGCAAACAAAACAAAACAAAGATATGTGAGAGAGAAAGAGACAGAGAGAGAGAGAGGGGGGGGGGAAGTGTAGAATGTGTTAACATTCTAATAATTGATGCATCTACCTGGGTGAAGGACATTCATTCATCTTTCCACTTGCCAGTAGGTTTGAAAACTTACAAAATGAAAGGGAAAAGGAATGGAAAAAATGGGGAGAAAAGCTGTTTGTTACCTGGGACTATGCCTCTGTTTAATTACCTCAAGTTTACCCAGTTGGGTTTCTGCAGAAACTGAGACCAGGGCCTGGTGTTTTGTCTGTTTGCTGTTTTGGGAGGTGATGGTACAGAGACCTGGCAGGAAAATTTGTGGGTTCTATTCTCAGGGTGGCTCTTTGGCCTAAGGTACTTGAATGGGGGGACATCTAAAGCCCAGAGCAGTGGCCTAAGAAAGCGTATGAGGAGACCCCAAGAACAAATGTGACCCCTCCTTCAACCTCAGTGTCATCACAGCCAGGCACACCTGCCTTGGTTCTCTCCACGCCCCCTTGTTCTGAAGAGATGCCTCCTGCTTGCTTCTTCTATTGGAACTGAATGTGTGGGGTCATGCTTGGCTACTGTCATCCCTGAGAATTGGGTAGAACAGGAGGGAGGACCTCTGGGGACATCCTCAGGCTTAAGCAAGGAAGGGTCCTCCAGGACCTGCAGCCTGGGTCAAGGCCCAGAAGCTTGGCTCTAGCTGGAACCGGAGAGACAGCCAGGCGACACCCGGGTGCCATGCTGCCTACAACCAGCAGGTGGCAGATGTGCCCTACCCAGGAGCTGGCTCTGGCTTTCAGAGGGAAACCAAACAAAAAGCAAGTGGCAAAGTGGCTGGCCCTCCAGGTTCCAGGAACGCTCCCAGAGTCTGAAGCTGCTGCTACCAACTGGGCTGTATTTTGAGGGTCTGAAGGATCCACAGCAAGCCTTGTCATTTTGTTAATCACAGTGTTCACTCACGGGGCAGTTGTTGTTGTTGTTGTTGTGAAGTGCCATCGAGTCGATTCCGACCCATAGCGACCCTGTATAGGGTTTCTAAGGAGCATCTGGTGAACTTGAACCACAGACCTTGCAGTTCAAATGACTTTGCAGTCTGTCACATTAGCCCACAGCGCTACACCACGGGGCAGAAGCAGGGGAAAATGTGAACAGCAGGCTGACTTTCTGGGGTCATCAGGGAAAGATGGCCAGTAGCCATTGCTGGGTCCCATGCCGCCTCTCTCAGTGGTGGCAGGAGTGGGGAGGAAGGATATTATGTGTGCTTCCTTTTCTTAGCGCTCTCTTCAGTTTTTCTACTTCCTCCTGGCACCAGGAGGACAGCTAAAGAGGAAAATGATGACCATGAGCTCAGTTCACACTTATGAAGAGCTGACAGTGTGCCCAGGACTGTGCTAAATGCTTCCGGTCTCATTCACTACAGGCTGTTGTTGTTAAGTGCCATGGAGTTGGGTCCCTGTATAGGGTTTCTGAGGAGTGGCTGGTGAGTCTGCACCGCCAAACTTGTGGGTCAAACTGACCTTGTGGTCCAGTGTATTATTCTACAGTGCCTGAGCCGAACTCTTACCATTGCTCAGTATAATTTTGTAATCTAAGTACCATAGTTATGTGTATTCTTGTATGTTGTTGTTGTTAAGTACCACCAAGTGAGTTCCCACTCATAGTGACCCTGGATAGGATTTCTAAGGCTCTGTATCTTCATGGGAGCAGAAAGCCTCATCACGCTCCCAGTGTATATTCTAGAAGTAAGAAAACTGAGGTTTGCAGAGATCAAATTGCCCAAAGTCACTTGGCTTGCTAACACTGGAGTCAGGATATAATGGAAACACTTTTACTCCAGAGATTTTGTTTTCAATCCCCACTGAGGCAATCCTAT